GTAAACACGAGGAAATTAAATCTTCATCAGAGTACAAAACAAATTCTGGCCACAAAATAGAGCGAAACACCAACGTCAAAGACCTGGGAGTGATCATGTCGGAGGATCTCGCCTTCAAGGACCATAACATTGTATCAATCGCATCTGCTAGAAAAATGACAGGATGGATAATGAGAACCTTCAAAACTAGGGAGGCCAAGCCCATGATGACACTCTTCAGGTCACTTGTTCTATCTAGGCTGGAATATTGCTGCACACTAACAGCACCTTTAAAGGCAGGTGAAATTGCTGACCTAGAAAATGTACAGAGAACCTTCACGGCGCGCATAACGGAGATAAAACACCTCAATTACTGGGAGCGCTTGAGGTTCCTAAACCTGTATTCCCTGAAGCAAGCGGGAGAGATACATGATTATATACGCCTAGAAAATCCTAGAGGGACTAGTACCGAACTTGCACACGAAAATCACTCACTACGAAAGCAAAAGACTTGGCAGACGATGCAACATCCCCCCAATGAAAAGCAGGGGTGTCACTAGCACGTTAAGAGACCATACAATAAGTGTCAGGGGCCCGAGACTGTTCAACTGCCTCCCAGCATACATAAGGGGGATTACCAACAGACCCCTGGCAGTCTTCAAGCTGGCACTGGACAAGCACCTAAAGTCGGTTCCTGACCAGCCGGGCTGTGGCTCGTACGTTGGTTTGCGTGCAGCCAGCAGCAACAGCCTGGTTGATCAGGCTCTGATCCATCAGGAGGCCTGGTCACAGACCGGGCCGCGGGGGCATTGACCCCCGGAACTCTCCAGGTAAACTCCAGGTAATGTTCACCCCATTGTCCTTCTCTTTAAGGAAGGTATGAAGCCTTTGTTTCCCAAGTCTGTGCTCTGTTTCCGGTCATCTTTGCCCTTCCCCGATTACCATAACGTTGCATTTGCCACTTGTCAGAAAATCCTGCAGCTTGTCCAGATTAATCTGCAGTCTTTCCTGGTACACTTCTGTTTGTATTATTCTGTCATGTCGTTTACATCGTCTTGAAGAAGGCGCTGGACAGGCACCTAAAGTCAGTACCTGATCAACCGGGCTGTGGTTCGTAAGTCGCGTTGCGCGGGACCAACAGTAACAGCCTGGTTGATCAGGACCTGATCCACCATGAGCCCTGGTCACAGACTGGGCCGCGGGGCATTTACCCCCGAAACCAGATATACATTCACAAGAAACGGTACTGGTCCAAATGCTGACATTTGTGGAACCCCACTCATCACACTCTCCCAATCTGATACCTCCCTACAATGACTTGTTGTTTCCTTCGTGTTAAGTATTCCCTGATCTACTGCAGTGCTTTCACTGTTATTCCTGTCTGCTGCTTTAGCCTTCGTCCTTCTTGCGTGGGGTCGTGAAGTACTTGCAGTCCTTGCAGTCCAAAAATACAGATTTGTTAGGATTTACCGTGCTGGTTGTCATTTATGGATCCATTCCTTTCCTGGTGCTCCACTATTTTCCTTATAAAGTTGTCCATAACCTAACATACTATGCATGATAGTGACATTGGCCTGTAATTCAGTGCCACCTGTTTGTCCCCCTTTTTTTTAATATTATGACTACATTCGCTGTCTTCCAAACTTCTGGCAGCTTCCCTATTTCAACTGACTTGAAAATCACTGCTAGCGGTTCACACAGTCCCTCTGTTCCCTCTCGCAGAACCCACAGAGGTATTGGTCTGGTCCAGTTGTCTTTGACACATCTAGCTCGTTCGGCAGATTGTTCAATTCTCTTCCCGTTCTTTGTATTGTGCCCAGTACTCATGAATGCACTCAATTTCTCTGGCTCTGGCATTGTTCAGATTCCACTGTAAATACCTCTTTAAACCTTTTGTTCAGACCTTTACGGGTTTCCTGATCATTCCTAGTGAGTTCCCCTCTTTCCTCAGTCTTATTATCTGGTTCTTCAGTTGTTTTTCTTCTGATGTGGCTGTACAGCAACTTTGGCTTATGTTTAGTTTTCGATGAGTCATTGTCGTTCAGCCTCCCTTCTTATCCACGCAAATTAATTTCTGACTTTTGCTTGCTTGCTTTCTCATTTTCTGGCATTCTTTGTTTTTGTCTTCCATACTCTTGCACTTTTAGCTTTTACTTTCCTGCACCAATCAGTGAACCATGGGCTCATTGCCTGTGCTCCTTCTGGATATAAATTTCTCCTCTGCCTCGAGACATTTTACATCTACATACTCATCATTTCATTCACTATCTTCACACCTTACCCACTACACTCTTCTTAGGAAGTGCCTTATGCCATAATAGTCTCCTCTTTTGAAGACTGGTCTGTTCCTTCCTTCACGCTCGCTATTCCTCTCCACGTTTACTTTCACAAAATATTCTAGCCTCAGCATGGCGTGATCACTACGAACACGGGGCCTCTCGTATTTGACGTTCCATTCACCAGAATCCCTACATCATCGCTCGCAGAAAACGATGCTCTGGCATCACTTTCTACGACCTGCGTTGATGCACCAGGAAGAAAGCGAGACCAAAATGATGTTCGGGCAGAGCAAGAGAAGGATAGTTAGAGCACCTCGTGGGAGCCACGCGCACCAACCACGGTAGGTGGCGCCTTTAAAGCTGAAACGTCAATGCTTGAGTTTCGGCTTGACCTTGACGCTCAAGGAAGACTGGGGTGTCCCACCACCAGGAAGACTGGTGATGTCCCACCACCAGGAAGACTGGTATGTCCCACCACCAGGAAGACTGGGGGTGTCCCACCACCAGGAAGACTGGGTGTTTCCCAACACCAGGAAGACTGGGGTGTCCCAACACCAGGAAGACTGGGGTGTCCCACCACCAGGAAGACTGGGGTGTCCCACCACCAGGAAGACTGGGGTGTCCCACCACCAGGAAGACTGGGGTGTCCCACCACCAGGAAGACTGGGGTGTCCCACCACCAGGAAGACTGGGTGTCCCACCACCAGGAAGACTGGGGTGTCCCACCACCAGGAAGACTGAGGTGTCCCACCACCAGGAAGACTGGGGTATCCCACCACCAGCCTATTCTTCATCCTCATATTTGACATAGAAATGTAAGCCATAGTTCTGTCTTCCTTTGTGGATGACACCCGATTTGACATGAGTGTTCTACCTCGAAGACGCAGCAAGACTCCAAGCGGACATCAACTAAATCTTCAAATGATCAGCTCAAAACAATATGAAGTTCAATGAAGAGAAATTTCAACTTCTCAGATATGGGAAACTTGAGGAAATTAAAACTGTATCAGTGTATACAGCAAATTCTAATCATACAATTGGACGAAAAAGTGATATGAAGGACCTGGGAGTGATAATGTTTGAGGAACTTGCCTTCAAAGACCACAATATATCTATCTCATCTGCTTGGAAAATGATAGGATGAATAATGAGAACCTTCAAAACTAGGGACGCCAAGCCCATGATGATTCTCTTCAAATCGCTTATTTTCTCTAGGCTGGGATACTGCTCTACTCTAACTGCCCCCTTCAAGGTATGCGAAATTGCTGACCTGGAGAGTGTAGAAAGAACTTTCACGGCACACACAAGTACGATAAGGCAAATAAATTACTGGGAACGGTTGAAGTGTCTTGATTTGTATTCCCTGGAATGCAGGCGAGAGAGATACATGATAATATACACTTGGAAAATCCTAGAGGGATTAGTACCAAACTTGCACACGAAAATCACTCCCTATGAAAGCAAAAGACTCGGCAGGAGATGCAACGTTCCCCCAATGAAAAGCAGGAGGCGCCACGCGCACATAGAAAAGACAAAACAGTAAGTATCAGGGGCCCAAGACTGTTCAACTGCCTCCCAGCATACATAAGGGGGATTACCAATAGACTCATGGCTGTCTTCAAGAAGGCACTGGACAGGCACCTAAAGTCAGCACCTGACCAGCCGGGCTGGTCAGGTACTGACTTTAAAGATTAAATATTTTATTTCTTTGCAAAGGTTACTATGTGTAATTACAATTTTGATTTGTTAAGTACAAAGAAAGCCACTATCGTACCTGGGCATTAAGGGCAAATTAATCCTAGCACATAACTATTTAAGTCTAGACAAGATAGGAATGGTTAACTTTGTAATAAATCTATATTTTATCTTAATACTAATTCGGAATAGTCAGGGTGGAGATTGGTAAGAATAATAATCTTGGTTGCACATAAAAACAATATTACAATTAATTGAGCTGTATAATCCTACGGGTTTAGCGCTTCCCCTTGATTATAATAATAATAATACAATTAATTGATGGTTCAAGCAGTAATATTTCATGGATTGGCAGATGTTTTAATAGACTAGAAGTCTCATAATATTTGGGAGAGTTGCTTCAGTCTGATTAGAAGTTATTTTGGTTGGTTTGGTTAGTATTGAGAGATGAGATGATTTTTAAGCATAGTCGTAAATTTGTATGTAATCAGGGGATCCTTTACCAGTTCAAGTAGTGAATTCCAGATCTTCAGGCCCTTTATGCATTGCATTTTTGAATAACGTGAGACTGATACGGTGAATGTCATAGTGCCTTGTGCCTTGTATTGTGACTGTGCATTCTGGTGTAGCTATCTGTATATGTAGTAGGCACAATAATGTGAGTGTATGTCTCTTATATTTAGTAGGGTCAGGCTTTTGAAAAGTGGTGCTGTTTTTTGTTGGGTTATTAAAGGTTTAAGGTGGTTGGCTATGGTTGATCCCCAGGCACAAATACCAGAGGTGAGGTAGAGATATATTAGTGTGGTATAGGGTACTTAGTACCCTATCATATCTTGGAAAGGATGCCTACTGATTTGGAAATTTTCTTGGATATATGCTGAATGTGGGAATGAAATTAAAAATTACAGTCAAGGTGAAGATTTAGGACACAAACTCTGCTTACCTAGAACATTTTTCTAGCTGGATGGGTTCCAGGTCACTTGAGGTCTCCAGTTTAAGAATTTCCATTGCATTTTTTTTCCCTGTATGCGACCAACAATAGTTGACTAACATTGATATACCTGTCATTAGTGCCAGGTAAGCAGTCAGCAAGGTGCGAGGTCAGGCCAAGAGAAACAGTAACATATGGGCAAGACAAAGTTATTAGTTGTGGGTGATTTCAATCACAAGAAAACTGACTGGGAAACCCTGGAGCTACACCGGGGACCAGAAGCGTGGAGAGCTAAGACGATGGAGGTGGTACTGGAAAACCTTATGCATCAGCATGTTAGGGGTACTACCAGAGGGAGGAAGGAAGGAAGGAACCAGCAAGGCTCGACCTCTTATTCACCTTGAGTACTTCAGACAGGATCATATGGTCCTGAGCTTTGACTGCATTGTAGAATTAAAAGTGGAGAGTGAAGCAGCACGAGCAGGCTGGGAGAGGCCAAATTACAAAAGAGGGGACTACACAGGCATGAGGAATTTTCTGCATCAGGTAGTGGAGAAAAGAACAGGTGGAAAAAACAGTAAATGACATGATGGAATACGCGATCACAAAATGCAAGGAGGCAGAGAAAAGTTTCGTATCCAAGCGCAACAGAAACAACGGGAAGACCAGAATGAGCCCTTGGTTCACCCAAAGGTGTAGAGAGGCGAAAAGTGAGTGAGCAAGAGAGTGGAAAAATTATGGAAGACGAAGGACCCAGGAAAATAAGGAGATTAGCAGAAGAGACAGAATCTAATGTGCATGGATAAGAAGGGACGCCCAGCGGCAATACGAAAATGACAGCATCGAAAGCCAAATCTGACCCAAAGTTATTATACAGCCACATCAGGAGGGAAACAAGTCAGTGATCAGGTAATCAGGCTGGGGAAGGAAGGAGGGGAGATAGCTTGAAATAATAATAATAATATCTTTATTTCTACAAGTACATGTACAAGATATACAGGCCCAGTTGATATTAATGACATACTACTATATAGAAAGTCACTTGTTCTGCAGAGCATTTCGGGTAAATTAGGTCAGTTTTGTCCCAGGATGCGACCCACACCAGTCGACTAACACACAGGTACCCATTTCACTGATGTGTGAACATAGACAACCGGTGTAAGGAAACACACCCAATGCTTCTACCCCCGCCAGGAATCGAACCCTGAAACTAGCCTGAACCCTGAAACCAGACTACAGGGCACCCAACAAAGAAGTGTGTGAATAGCTCAACACGAGATTTAAAGTATTTTCAGTGAAGACAGAAAGGACACCAGGAAACCAGGATGGAAGGGTACACCAAGAAGTGCTGGATATGTTACATACAACAGACGAGGAGGTGAAGAGACTGCTATGTGAGCTAGATACCTCAAAGATGTTAGGATCGGACGTCTCTCCAAGGGTTCTGAGAGGATGAGCAGACACTGTGTGTACCACTAACAAAAATCTTCAACACATCTATCGAAACAGGGAAACTACCTGAAGTGTGGAAGACAGCAAATGTAGTCCCAGTGTTTAAGAAAGGAGACAGACATATAGTATTAAACTACAGACCGGTGTCACTGACATGTATTTTATGCAAAGTCATGGAAAAGCTTATCAGAAGACAGGTGGACCATCCAGCACGGTTTCAAGAAGGTGAAATCCTGTATCACAAACCTGGAGTTTTATGACAAGGTGACAAAAGTAAAGCAGGAGTGAGTTAGAGAGTGAGAGGAATGAGAGAGAGAGAGAGAGAGAGAGAGAGAGGAGAGAGAGAGAGAGAGAGAGAGGAGGGGTAGAGTGCATTTTCTTGGACTGTAAGGAGGCTTTCGACACAGTTCCACACAAGAGATTAGTGCATAAGCTAGAGAAACGGGCAGAAATAACAGGAAAGGCACTGCAATGGATCAGAGAATACCTGACAGGAAGTGATGGTACGTGTCGAGGTGTCAGAGTGGGCGCCAGTGACGAGAGGGGTTCCACAACTGTCAATCCTAGGGCCGAGGCTGTTTCTGGTATATGTAAATGACTTGGCGGAAGGGATAGATTCAGAGGTGTCCCCTTTTTGCAGACGATGTGAAGCTAATGCGAAGAATTCAGGTAGATTAAAATCAGGTAGGACTACAAAAGGATCTAGACAGACTGAAAGTCTGATCCAACACCTGGCTCCAGGAGTTTAACCCCAGCAAGTGCAAAGTCATGAAGATTGGGGAAGGTGAAAGAAGACCGCAGACTGAGTACAGGCTAGAGGGCCAAAAACTATAAACCTCACTCAACAAAAAGGGTCTTGGAGTGAGTATAATACCGAGCATATCTCTTGAGGCACGCATCAGCCAAATAACTGCTGCAGCATATAGGCACCTGGCAAACCTAGGAATAGCGTTTCGACACCTGAATAAGAAATCGTTCAGACTGTATACCGGGCACGTCAGACCCATATTGGAGTATGCAGCACCAGTATGGAACCTACACCTGGTCAAGCATGTCAAGAAATTAGAGAAAGTGCAAAGGTTTCAACAAGACTAATACCGGAGCTAAGGGGTATGTCCTACGAGGAAAGGTTAAGGGAAATCAACCTGACGACACTGGAGGACAGGAAGGATAGGGGTGACATGATAACGACATATAAAATACCGAGAGGAATTCATTAGGTGGATAGGGACAGGATGTTTCAGAGATGGGACACAACAACAAGGGGTCACAACTCGAAGTTGAAGATTCGGATGAGTCACAGGGATGTTAGGAAGTATTTCTTCAGACACTGAGTTTGCCAGGAAGTGGAACAATCTGGAGAGTGATGTAGTGGAGGAAGGATTCGTGTATAGCTTTAAGAAAAGATTGGACAAAGCTTATGGAGCAGGGAGAGAGTGGACCTAGTAGCGACCAGCGAAGAGGCGGAGCCAGGAGCTGTGAATCGACCCATGCAATAACAAATGGGTGAGTAGAAATCTATGAATACACTCACGCATTCAGTACATGTTCATAAATGGTAAATCTTGCCTCACAAACCTTTTTGGAGCTCTGTGAGAAAGTGACAGAAGTGAGACAGGCGAGAGGTCTGCGTGGCTTGCATACTCTTGGACAGCAAGAAGGCAGTTGATACTTTATCTGGCAAGACATTGGAACAAAAATTTGTGTAGCAGGCAAGAACGACGGGGGATCAAAGTGTTCCTCATGGGACGAGGACACAGAGATTGTCCTAGAAGAGATATCAGAATGTGAAAGTGGAATTCCACTAGGATCGATATTAGGATCAGTTCTGTTTCAAGTATATGTAAAGGACATGCCAGAAAACGGATGCATTCCTCTTTGCAAATGGTGTTAAATAAATGAAAGGAATAAAAAACAAAGAGGACAAGGAAGAGCTGCAAATTGGCGAGTACCATACTTACTCATAGGTGAGTACACTATATTTATAGTCAAGTACATTTTATACTCATACCAAGTGTGGGAGGACCGAGTGTTAGGGCAACGTGGAGAGCAGTGTTCCCTCCAGCGTCACGCTGGTTCACTTCTGCTCCTCCTTCCACCAGCGCCTCCACCATCTTCGTCGCCTCCTCCACCTCCTCCATACTCAACCTGGGGAAGACTAGACCGGGTGACTCAAAGACAAGCTGGTGTAGGGCTGGGAGGCAGCTGGTGCATGGCTATGAGATAGCTAGTGCAGGGCTATGAGATAGCTAGTGCAGGGCTATGAGATAGCTAGTGCAGGGCTATGAGATAGCTAGTGCAGGGCTATGAGATAGCTAGTGCAGGGCTATGAGATAGCTAGTGCTGGGCTATGAGGTAGCTGGTGCAGGATTAAGTGGTCACTGGACTAACCTGGATACTGAGACCATAGTGGTCACTGCATACTAGGACCACTGTACTCCCCAGGACCACAGTACTCTCCGGAAGCACAGAACTCGGGGCCACAATATTCCCCAGGATCAAGGTGCTTATTGGGAACTACAATGGTTATGGGGGCCCAAGACCATGGTCTTCACTGAGACCACCAAGAAATCATTGTGACCATCCTGGTCACCATGACCCATAGACTGACGAACTGCCTCCTGGTCGCCACCCTGCCACCCACAGGTGCCCACCCATCCCCGCCCTCTCAGGCCTCCTTACTCAAGTTAGTCCCAAATAATATGCACATTAGGTTGTAGAATTTTATTTTACTTTCTGCCCCCCCCCCTCCCATTGTTGCTACTCTCATTTCCCAGGTTCATAACTTTCTGCCTCCCCCCCCATCCATTGCTGCTACTCCCATTCCTCGGGTTCACAATCGTCACCCATTTATCATACAAAATATATACATATCTGAGAGTCAGCGGAGTCGTATATAATTACTATATTTCTGTAGCAAGCACTCGAGAAGTCCCATATTCCTCACGATATTAAACGCAAAACACTGAACTGGAAAGTTTCTGGCGCCTGGTTGTTGACGGTGTTTACACAGGCTGAGAAGAATGAACCTTCAAAATGGAATTTAGCATAAACGATTTCTGGTAAAAAATAATCGCGTGGAGGGAGATTACAGATATTTTTCATGTTTTTCTCATTCCTCATCGAGTTCATAGGTGTTTATTTATTTATTTATTATTTGGACATGATGCATAATTGTACAAAAGAACAAAAGAAATACAGTGGTTGAGTGTACATACTAAAAGCCCCTTGTACGCAGAGCATTATGGGCAGGCTTAAAATTAACTTAAGTGGTAAAAATACAGTAAACAAATTACATGAAGTACAAATGAGTATTTCAAATAAGCTTTATAGCTGTACAAATTTGTAGCACATTTGATGAGTTACTGAGCATTCAAGAGGATGGAATATTCTATTAGGTAATGTAATTGCAAAAAAAAAAAAAAAACAGTTTGATAGGGTCACAGGTTATATGTTTATGAGATACAGTTAATCAGTATTTATTTAGTTGTGGGTGAGTAACTGGTTTTTAAGAAGTCTTGAATTGATAAACAGTGTTTCTTTTATATTCACAGGTAATGAATTCCAGATTTTTGGGCCTTTTATGTGCATTGCGTTTTTACATAGTGTGAGATGGACACGAGGAACATCAAAGAGTGATCTGTGCCTTGTGGTCATGTGTTCTGTTGAGGTTGGTAAGGAGAAGTTTGAGAGAAGGGTTTATATCCAAGTTTACTGTTCTATGTATGTAGTAGGTACAATAATAAGTTTGGATGTTTTGTACGGTGAGTAAGTTTAGAGTTTTGATTACCTGGAGTTTAACTGAAGAGAGTTCCGGGGGTCAACGCCCCCACGGCCCGGTCTGTGACCAGGCCTCATGGTGGATCAGAGCCTGATCAATCAGGCTGTTACTGCTGGCTGCACGCAATCCAACGTACGAACCACAGCCCGGCTGGTCAGGTACCGACTTTAGGTACCTGTCCAGTGCCTGCTTGAAGACTGCCAGGGGTCTGTTGGTAATGCTCCTTATTTATGCTGGGAGGCAGTTGAACAGTCTCGGGCCCCTGACACTTATTGTATTGTCTCTTAACGTGCTAGTGACACCCCTGCTTTTCTTTGGGGGGGATGTTGCATCGTCTGCCGAGTCTTTTGCTTTCGTTGTGAGTGATTTTCGTGTGCACGTTCGGTACTAGTCCCTCTAGGATTTTCCAGGTGTATATAATCATGTATCTCTCCCGCCTGCGTTCCAGGGAGTACAGGTTCAGGAACCTCAAGCGCTCCCAGTAATTGAGGTGTTTTATCTCCGTTATGCGCGCCGTGAAGGTTCTCTGTACATTTTCTAGGTCAGCAAGTTTCACCTGCCTTGAAAGGTGCTGTTAGTGTGCAGCAATATTCCAGCCTAGATAGAACAAGCGACCTGAAGAGTGTCATCATTGGTTGAGTATGCTGCCTGTAGTGGGAATTTGTTATTCTGGCTGCAGCCTTTTGTTAAGTAATTAATGGTCCGAGATGGTTTATTGTTTGAGCCCCATGCACAAATTCCATAGATGAGATAGGGGTAAATGATGAGTGATATAGGGCCAGGAGGGCTGACTATGAAACATAGTACCGTATCTTCGATAGTATGCCTATGGTCTTGGAGATTTTATTGGAAATGTGTTGTATAATAATAAGCATAATAATAATAATAATTTAATCATTTTCACCTGGCTGAGGTGGCTCTCCTGTGAGCGGCGGCGACGGCCAGGCTGAGAACAGAGTACCCTCCTGCGGGCAGTCTTACATTAGCACCCTCCTGCAGGGCCACCTTCACCACTTCCAGCTGGTGACCTGCCACGCCGTAGTGCAGCGCTGTCAACCCGTTCCTGAAGGTGAGAAAGTGTGTGTCAACCCGTTCCTGAAGGTGAGAAAGTGCGTCAACCGTTCCTGAAAATAAGAATGTGTGTCAACCCGTTCTTGAAGGTGAGAATGTGTGTGTGTGTCAACCCGTTCATGAATATCAACTGGATCTTGAAGGTGAGAATGTGTGTGTGTCAACACGTTCATGAAGAATATCAACTGGATCTTGAAGGTGAGAATGTGTGTGTGTCAACACGTTCATGAAGAATATCAATGGTCTTGAAGGTGAGAATGTGTGTGTATCAACACGTTCATGAAGAATATCAACTGGATCTTGAAGGTGAGAATGTGTGTGTGTCAACACGTTCATGAAGAATATCAACTGGATCTTGAAGTGAGAATGTGTGTGTGTCAACACGTTCATGAAGAATATCAACTGGATCTTGAAGGTGAGAATGTGTGTGTGTCAACACGTTCATGAAGAATATCAACTGGTTCTTGAAGGTGAGAATGTGTGTGTGTCAACACGTTCATGAAGAATATCAACTGGTTCTTGAAGGTGAGAATGTGTGTGTGTCAACACGTTCATGAAGAATATCAACTGGATCTTGAAGGTGAGAATGTGTGTCAACCGGTTCATGGTGAGAATGTGTCAGCTGGTTCTTGAAGAGGAGAATGTGTCAGCTGGTTCTTGAAGAGGAGAATGTGTCAGCTGGTTCTTGAAGAGGAGAATGTGTCAGCTGGTTCTTGAAGAGGAGAATGTGTCAGCTGGTTCTTGAAGAGGAGAATGTGTCATGGTTTTCTATCAAAGAGAATGATTGATGTCTTAGCTGTTCTTGAAGAGGAGATATGTGTCAGCTGGTTCTTGAAGAGGTAGATGTTAGCTGGTTCTTGAGAGAGGAGAATGTGTAACTGGTCTGAGAGAGGAATGTTAGCTGTCTTGAAGAGGAGAATGTGTCAGTCTGGTTCTTGAAGAGGAGAATGTGTCAGTGGTTCTTGAGAGAGGAGAACTGTAGCAGCTGGTTCTTGAACAGGAGAATTTGTCAATTGGTTCTTACCTCATCCAACCTCATCTACAATTTACATTGAAATACGTCTTTAGCAATGTTCACCTAGATGCTGAGAGAGGTACTGTAAACCTGCTGAGAGAGGTACTGTATACCTGCTGAGAGAGGTACTGTATACCTGCTGAGAGAGGTACTGTATACCTGCTGAGATAGGTACTGTATACCTGCTGAGAGAGGTACTGTATACCTGCTGAGAGAGGTAATGTATACCTGCTGAGAGAGGTAATGTATCCTGCTGAGAGATGGTAATGTATACCTGCTGAGAGAGGTAATTATACCTGCTGAGAGAGGTATGTATACCTGCTGAGAGAGGTAATGTATACCTGCTGAGAGAGGTAATGTATACCTGCTGAGAGAGGTTCTGTAATACCTGCTGAGAGAGGTACTGTATACCTGCTGAGAGAGGTAATGTATACCTGCTGAGAGAGGTAATGTATACCTGCTGAGAGAGGTATGTATACCTGTGAGAGAGGTACTGTATACCTGCTGAGAGAGGTAATGTATACCTGCTGAGAGAGGTATGTATACCTGCTGAGAGAGGTACTGTATACCTGCTGAGAGAGGTACTGTATACCTGCTGAGAGAGGTACTGTATATACCTGCTGAGAGAGGTATGTATACTGCTGAGAGAGGTAACTGTATACCTGCTGAGAGAGGTAATGTATACCTGCTGAGAGAGGTACTGTATACCTGCTGAGAGATGGAGTACTGTATACCGCGAGAGGAGTTACTGCTGAGAGAGGTACTGTATACCTGCTGAGAGAGGTACTGTATACCTGCTGAGAGAGGTACTGTATACCTGCTGAGAGAGGTACTGTATACCTGCTGAGAGAGGTAATGTATACCTGCTGAGAGAGGTATACCTGCTGAGAGAGGTAATGTATACCTGCTGAGAGAGGTAATGTATACCTGCTGAGAGAGGTAATGTATACCTGCTGAGAGAGGTAATGTATACCTGCTGAGAGAGGTAATGTATACCTGCTGAGAGAGGTATACCTGCTGAGAGAGGTAATGTATACCTGCTGAGAGAGGTACTGTATACCTGCTGAGAGAGGTACTGTATACCTGCTGAGAGAGGTATGTATACCTGCTGAGAGAGGTATGTATACCTGCTGAGAGAGGTACTGTATACCTGCTGAGAGAGGTACTGTATACCTGCTGAGAGAGGTACTGTATACCTGCTGAGAGAGGTACTGTATACCTGCTGAGAGAGGTACTGTATACATGCTGAGAGAGGTAATGTATACCTGCTGAGAGAGGTACTGTATACCTGCTGAGAGAGGGTACTGTATACCTGCTGAGAGAGGTAATGTATACCTGCTGAGAGAGGTACTGTATACCTGCTGAGAGAGGTACTGTATACCTGCTGAGAGAGGTAATGTATACCTGCTGAGAGAGGTACTGTATACCTGCTGAGAGAGGTAATGTATACCTGCTGAGAGAGGTACTGTATACCTGCTGAGAAGGTATTTATACCTGCTGAGAGAGGTACTGTATACTGCTGAGAGAGGTAATGTATACCTGCTGAGAGAGGTACTGTATACCTGCTGAGAGAGGTACTGTATACCTGCTGAGAGAGGTAATGTATACCTGCTGAGAGGAGTATAGCTGAGAGAGGTAATGTATACCTGCTGAGAGAGGTACTGTATACTGCTGAGAGAGGTTATACCTGCTGAGGAGAATGTATATGTGGAGAGGTATACCTGCTGAGAGAGGTACTGTATACCTGCGAGAGAGGTAATGTATACCTGCTGAGAGAGGTACTGTATACCTGCTGAGAGAGGTAATGTATACTGCTGAGAGAGGTAACTGTATACCTGCTGAGAGAGGTAATGTATACCTGCTGAGAGAGGTACTGTATACCTGCTGAGAGAGGTATGTATACCTGCTGAGAGAGGTACTGTATACCTGCTGAGAGAGGTAATGTATACCTGCTGGAGAGGTATGTATACCTGCTGAGAGAGGTAATGTATACCTGCTGAGAGAGGTATACTGTGAGAGAGGTACTGTATACCTGCAGAGAGGTACTGTATACCTGCTGAGAGAGGTAATGTATACCTGCTGAGAGAGGTAATGTATACCTGCTGAGAGAGGTACTGTATACTGTGAGAGAGGTAATTATACTGCTGAGAGAGGTACTGTATACCTGCTGAGAGAGGTAATTATACTGCTGAAGAGGTATACCTGCTGAGAGAGGTAATGTATACCTGCTGAGAGAGGTATTATACCTGCTGGAGAGGTAATGTATACCTGCGAGAGAGGTACTGTATACCTGCTGAGAGAGGTACTGTATACCTGCTGAGGAGGTAATGTATACTGCTGAGAGAGGTAATGTATACTGCTGAGAGAGGTATGTATACCTGCTGAGAGAGGTACTGTTATACCTGCTGAGAGAGGTACATGTATACCTGCTGAGAGAGGTACTGTATACCTGCTGAGAGAGGTACTGTATACTGCTGAGAGAGGTACTGTATACCTGCTGGAGGGTACTGTATACCTGCTGAGAGAGGTACTGTATACCTGCTGAGAGAGGTACTGTATACTCTGGAGAGAGACGGGGTACTGTATACTGGAGTAGATACCTGAGAGAGGTACTGTATACCTGCTGAGAGAGGTAATGTATACCTGCTGAGAGAGGTAATGTATACCTGCTGAGAGAGGTACTGTATACCTGCTGAGAGAGGTACTGTATACCTGCTGAGAGAGGTACTGTATACCTGCTGAGAGAGGTACTGTATACCTGCTGAGAGAGGTACTGTTATACCTGCTGAGAGAGGTACTGTATACTGCTGAGAGAGGTACTGTATACCTGCTGAGAGAGGTACTGTATACCTGCTGAGAGAGGTACTGTATACCTGCCGAGAGAGGTACTGTATACCTGCCGAGAGAGGTACTGTATACCTGCCGAGAGAGGTAATGTATACCTGCCGAGAGAGGTAATGTATACCTGCTGAGAGAGGTAATGTATACCTGCTGAGAGAGGTAATGTATACCTGCTGAGAGAGGTAATGTATACCTGCTGAGAGAGGTAATGTATACCTGCTGAGAGAGGTACTGTATACCTGCTGAGAGAGGTACTGTATACCTGCTGAGAGAGGTAACTGTTACCTGCTGAGAGAGGTAATGTATAACCTGCTGAGAGAGGTACTGTATACCTGCTGAGAGAGGTACTGTATACCTGCTGAGAGAGGTAATGTATACCTGCTGAGAGAGGGCTTATCTGTATACCTGCTGAGAGAGGTACTGTATACCTGCTGAGAGAGGTACTGTATACCTGCTGAGAGAGGTACTGTATACCTGCTGAGAGAGGTACTGTATACCTGCTGAGAGAGGTACTGTATACCTGCTGAGAGAGGTACTGTATACCTGCTGAGAGAGGTACTGTATACCTGCTGAGAGAGGTACTGTATACCTGCTGAGAGAGGTAATGTATACCTGCCGAGAGAGGTACTGTATACTGCCTGAGAGAGGTACTGTATACCTGCTGCGAGAGGTAATGTATACCTGCTGAGAGAGGTAATGTATACCTGCTGAGAGAGGTAATGAACTGCTGAGAGGTACTGTATACCATGCTGAGAGAGGTACTGTTAACCTGCTGAGAGAGGTACTGTATACCTGTGAGGTACTGTATACCTGCTGAGAGAGGTACTGTATACCTGCTAGAGAGGGGTACTGTATCCTGTGAGAGAGGTACTGTATACTGCTGAGAGGGTACTGTATACCTGCTGAGAGAGGTACTGTATACCTGTAGAGAGAGGTACTGTATACCTGCTGAGAGAGGGTACTTATACCTGCTGAGAGAGGTACTGTATACCTGCTGAGGAGAGGTACTGTATACCTGCTGAGAGAGTACTGTTCTGCTGAGAGTTGTATACCTCTGAGAGAGGTACTGTATACTGCTGAGAGAGGGGTACTGTGATACCTGCTGAGAGAGGTACTGTATACCTGCCATGGGTGGGTATTGTATACTGTGAGATGATGTTACTGCTGAGTACGTAACTGATGGAGAGGTACTGTATACCTGCGAGAGAGGTACTGTTACCTGCTGAGAGAGGTCAGTGTTAATACCTGCTGAGAGAGGTAACTGTAACCTGCTGAGAGAGGTAATGTATACCTGCTAGAAAGGTATTACCTGTGAGAGAGGTAATTTATACTGCTGAAGAGGTACTGTTATACCTGCTGTTTAGTGAGGAATAATGTTATACCTGCTGGGAGAGGGGTACTGTATACTGCTGAAGTGAGGGCTGTATACCTATGAGAGGTTATGATATACCTGCTAGAGAGGGGTACTGTATTACCTGCTAAGAGGGTACTGTCATACTGTTGAGTGATGGTACTGTATACCTGGGGGTACTGTATACCTGTGAGAGAGGGGTACTATATACCTGTATGAGAGAGGGTACTGTTTACCTGCTGAGAGAGGGGTACTTATACCTGCTAGAGAGAGGGGTATGTATACTGCTGAGAGAGAGGGACTGTATACCTGCTGAGAGAGGTACTTTACCTGTGAGAGAGGTATGTATACCTGTCTAGAGAGAGGGGCACTGTATACCTGCTGAAAGAGGGACTGTTATACCTTCTGAGAGAGAGGAGGTACTGTATACCAAGCTCGTGAGGGGAAGAGCTTTGGATTTCATCTCTCAACGTGGGATACAGCTTATCACGTAAATCTAGGGGACAGCTCCCAGCCTAAATGATGGGGGTAAACTCTGCCTTTATCACTTTAAACGGCGAAATACCTTTGTAAGTATGTTAGGTAGTTTAAAGCATGTTAAGTTCTGTAACCGTGGTTATCAAGAAAGGGTCTGATTTCCAAACCATCTCAGATTACCCTTTACCGGCCTTTTCATCCAAATATATATAAAAGCATAGCAGCCACACATTCTGTATGATAATTACAATGTGGGAACAAACGCTTGCATTGTTCCGAGCTATATTGGATGACATAGGGTGGAATATTGCACCACATTGGGTGGAATATTTGGCCCACCTATCTACGTAAGTAGATATTTTGACCCACCTGTCTACATGAGGGGGAATTTCAGCCCACCTGTCTACATAAGGGGATATTTTAGCCCACCTGTCTACATGAGGGGACATTTCAGCCCACCTGTCTACATAAGTGAAGATTTTGTCCCACCTGTCTACACAAGACATTTCAGCCCACCTGTCTACATAAAGGGACATTTTGGCCTACCCGTCTACTAAAGGGGACATTTTCATCCAACTCGTGACACATTTCGACTCTTCTCTCAACGTGGGGAGACACATTAATTCACCTAACAACAAGAGGGACATTTCGACTCACCTGCCAAGATGATGGGGCATTATAACTCACCTATCCACCTGGTTCCAGAGTGCGCCGGCTGCCCGGAGCCTGCGTGCCAGTTGTAAATGGCCAAGCCAGGCAGCGAGGGCGAGAGGGGTGAGGTGTGGGCCACCTGTAGGGACAGTCACAGCTGCCCGCCTCTCCAGCAGCACCGCAAGGGCGTCCCGTGACCCACCCTTCACCGCCGCCACCAGGGCCGTGTGACCCACCTCAACCACGTGGTCTATACGCTCCATCCTGCACCACACGGGTCCTTCAACACGCTATAGTCGAGGAATACACACACACACACAAACACACACACACGCACGCACCCACACAGACACACACAGACACACACAGACACACACACACACACACACACACACACACACACCACACACACACACACACACACACACACACACAGGGAGGCCAAAACCAGGTGTGCTAGGGAATAAAAGAAGAATAGAAGGCAAAGGACCCAGGAGAATAAGGAGAGCCGTCGCAGAGCCAGAAATGAATATGCACATGTGAGGGAGGCCCAAAGACAATACGAGAATGACATAGCAGCGAAAGCCAAATCTGACCCAAAGCTGTTGTACAGCCACATCAGGAGGAAAACAACAGTCAAGGACCAGGTAATCAGGCTGAGGAAGGAAGGAGGAGAGGTCACAAAAAATGACCGCAAAGTATGTGAGGAGCTCAGCATGAGATTCAAAGAAGTGTTCACAGAGGAGACAGAAGGGCCTCCAGAAAGGCATAGAGGTGGGGTACACCATCAAGTATTGGACACAATACATACAACCGAGGAAGAAGTGAAGAGGCTGCTAAGCGAGCTAGATACCTCAAAGGCGATGGGGCCGGATGACATCTCTCCATGCACCCTGAGAGAGGGAGCAGAGGCGTTTTGTGTACCACTAGCAACTATCTTCAATACATCTATCGAAATAGGGCGACTACCGGAAGTATGGCAGACAACATATGTAGTCCCAGTTTTTACAAAAGGAGATAGACACAAAGCATTAAACTACAGAGCAGTGTCACTGACATGTATAGTATGAAAGGTCAGGGAGAAAATTATCAGGAAAAGAGTGATGGAGCACCTAGAAAGGAATGAGCTTATCATTGACAGCCAGCACGGTTTCAGGGATGGGAAATCCTGTATCACAAACCTACTGGAGTTCTATGACAGGGTGATGGCAGTAAGACAAGAGAGAGAGGGCTGGGTAGATTGCATTTTCTTAGACTGTAAGAAGGCGTTTGACACAGTTCCACACCAGAGATTAGTGCAAAAACTGGAGGACCAGGCAGGGATAACAGGGAAGGCACTACAATGGATCAGGAAATACCTGCCAGGAAGACAACAGCGAGTCATGGTACGTGGTGAGGTGTCAAAGTGGACGCCTGAAACGAGCGGGGTGCCACAGGAATCAGTCTTAGGGCCGGTGCTGTTTCTGGTATTTGTGAACGACATGATGGAAGGAATAGACTCCGAAGTGTCCCTGTTTGCGGATGATGTGAAGTTGATGAGAAGAATTCAATCGGACGAGGACCAGGCAGAACTACAGATGGATCTAGACAGGCTGCAGGCCTGGTCCAGCAAATGGCTCCTGGAGTTCAACCCCACCAAGTGCAAAGTCATGAAGATTGGGGAAGGGCAAACAAGAACACAGACGAAGTACAATCTAGGGGGCCAGAGCCTACAAACCTCACTCAAGGAAAAGGATCTATCGGTGAATATAACACTGGGCACATCTGAGGCGCACATCAACCAAATAACTGCTGTAGCATACGGGCGCCTGGCAAACCTAAGAACAGCATACCGACATCTAAATAAGGAGTCATTCAGGACCCTGTACACTGTTTACGTTAGGGCCATATTGGAGTATGCAGCGCTAGTTTGGAACCCTCGCCTAGCCAAGCATGTGAGGATAACTAGAGAAAGTGCAAAGGTTTGCAACAAGGCTAGTCCCGGAGCTAAGGGGTATGTCCTACGAGGAGAGGTAAAGAGAAATCGACTTGACGACACTGGAAGATAGAGAGAGGGGGATATGATAATGACATATAAAATACTGAGAGGAATTGACAAGGTGGACGGTGGACGGAGACAGGATGTTCCAGAGATGGGACACATCAACAAGGGGGCACAGTTGAAAGTTAAAGACTCAGATGAATCACAAGGACATTAGGAAGTATTTCTTTAGTCAGAGTTGTCAGGGAGTGGAATAGCCTGGGAAGTGATGTAGTGGAGGCAGGATCCATACATAGCTTTGAGAAGAGGTATGATAAAGTGCATGGAGCAGGAAGAGTGACCCAGTAGCGACCAGTGAAGAGGCGGGGCCAGGAACTATGACTCGACCCCTACAACCACAACTGAGTACAACTAGGTGAGTACGTACACACACACACACACACACACACACACACACACACACACACACACACACACACACACACACACACACACACCAAACCACCCTGTGTCATCGAAATGAGGGAGAGGACAAAAAAAGCGAAAGGAGACAAGGATGGAACCAGCAGAGGTCAATCAGAGCAGAACAGAGCAGCAAGGGCAAGTACACAGAACTATCCTCAGAACACCATCCCAACACAAACTACAATCCACACTCACAGCTTCCACCCAACACCCAGCTATAGAATCCCACAGTATGCTACCAGGTCTCCCACCCTCACAGGCCCCCCAAACCACAGTGTTGGAAAGGAAACTGAAGGTATAGTACACAAATGCTGATGGAATAACAAATAAGTGGGAGGAGTGGCACGAAAGAGTCAAAGAGGCATCACCAGACATCATAGCTCTCACAGAAACCAAGCTAACAGGTATGATAACAGATGCCATCTTTCCATCGGGATACCAGATCCTGAGGAAAAGACAGAGGTAGGGGGGGTGGAGGAGTGGCACTGTTGCTCAAAAACCGATGGAATTTTGATGAGCTGGAGAGAGGAGACAGCGGAGAAGCAAGTGATTACATAGCGGGAACACTTCACTCTGGAGGTCCCAACGTGGTAATTGCAGTGATGTATAACCCACCACAGAACAGCAGGAGGCCAAGGCAAGAGTATGACTAGAGCAATAGAGCGATGGTTGACACACTGGCTGCAGTGGCCAGAAGAGCTCATGCATGCAGGGCAAAGCTCCTGATCATGGGTGACTTTAACCACAAGGAGATCGATTGGGAGAACTTGGAGCCACATGGGGGCCAAGACACATGGAGGGCTAAGATGATGGAGGTGGTACTGGAAAACTTCATACACCAACACGTAATGGCCACTACAAGAGAGAGAGAAGAGGATGAACCAGCAAGACTGGACCTAGTATTCACCTTGAGTAGTGCAGATACTGAGGATATCACATATGAAAGACCCCTTGGGGCTAGCGATCATGTGGTTTTAAGCTTCGAATACACAATAGAGCTACAAGTGGAGGGGGAAGCAGGAAGACCAGGATGAATGAAGCCAAACTACAGGAAAAGGGACTACACAGGAATGAGGAACTTCCTGAATGGGGTTCAGTGGGACAGAGAACTGGCAGGGAAGCCAGTTAATGAGATGATGAAATATGTAGCAACACTGTGCAAGGAGGCTGAGGAGAGGTTTGTACCCAAGGGTAACAGGACTAATGAAAAAGCCAGGATGAGCCCATGGTTCACCCAAAGGTGCAGGGAGGCAAAAACCAAGTGTGCTAGGGAATGGAAGAAATATAGAAGGCAAAGGACCCAGGAGAATAAGGAGAGCAGTCGTAGAGCCAGAAATGAACATGCACAGATAAGAAGGGAGGCCCAACGACAATATGAAAATGACATAGCAGCGAAAGCCAAATCTGACCCAAAGCTGTTATACAGACACATCAGGAGGAAAACAACAGTCAAGGACCAGGTAATCAGGCTAAGGAAGGAAGGAGAGACAAGAAATGACCGTGAAATATGTGAGGAACTCAACGAGAGATTAAAAGAAGTGTTCACAGAGGAGACAGAAGGGGCTCCAGAAAGACGGAGAGGTGGGGCACACCACCAAGTGCTGGACACAGTACACACAACCAAGGAAGAAGTGAAGAGGCTTCTGAGTGAGTTAGATACCTCAATGGCAATGGGGCCGGATAACATCTCTCCATGGGTCCTGAGGTAGCAGAGGCGCTATGTGTACCCCTAACAACAATATTCAATACATCTATCGAAACAGGGAGATTGCCTGAGGTACGGAAGACAGCAAATGTAGTCCCAATCTTTAAAAATGGAGACAGACATGAACCACTAAACTACAGACCAGTGTCACTGACATGTATAGTATGCAAAGTCATGGAGAAGTTTATCAGGAGAAGAGTGGTGGAACACCTAGAAATGAATGATCTCATCAACAGCAGCCAACATGGTTTCAGGGACGGGAAATCCTGTGTCACAAACCTACTGGAGTTCTATGACATGGTGACAGCAGTAAGACAAGAGAGAGAGGGGTGGGTAGATTGCATTTTCTTGGACTGCAAGAAGGCGTTTGACACAGTTCCACACCAGAGATTACTGCAAAAACTGGAGGACCAAGCAGGGATAACAGGGAAGGCACTACAATGGATCAGGGAATACTTGTCAGGAAGACAGAGCGAGTCGTGGTACGTGGCGAGGTGTCAGAGTGGGCACCTGTGACCAGCGGGGTCCCACATGGGTCAGTCCTAGGACCAATGCTGTTTCTGGTATTTGTGAACGACATGACGGAAGGAATAGACTCCGACGTGTCCCTGTTTGCAGATGACGTGAAGTTGATGAGAAGAATTCATTCGATCGAAGACCAGGCAGAACTACAAAGGGATCTGGACAGGCTGCAGACCTGGTCCAGCAATTGGCTCCTGGAGTTCAACCCCACCAAGTGCAAAGTCATGAAGATTGGGGAAGGGCAAAGAAGACTGCAGACAGAGTACAGTCTAGGGGGCCAGAGACTACAAACCTCACTTAAGGAAAAAGATCATGGGGTGAGTATAACACCAGGCACATCTCCTGAAGTGCACATCAACCAAATAATTGCTGCAGCAGCATATGGGCTCCGAGCAAACCTCAGAACAGCATTCCGACATCTTAATAAGGAATCTTTCAGGACCCTGTACACCGTGTACATTAGGCCCATATTGGAGTATGCGGCACCAGTTTGGAACCCACACCTAGCCAAGCACGTAAAGAAACTAGAGAAAGTGCAAAGGTTTTCAACAAGACTAGTTCCAGAGCTAAGAGGTATGCCCTACGAGGAGAGGTTAAGGGAAATCAACCTGACGACACTGGAGGACAGGAGAGATAGGGGGGACATGATAACGACTTACAAAATACTGAGAGGAATTGACAAGGTAAACAAAGACAGGATGTTCCAGAGATGGGACACAACAACAAGGGGACACGGTTGGAAGTTGAAGACACAGATGAATCACAGGGATCTTAGGAAGTATTTCTTCAGCCACAGAGTAGTCAGGAAGTGGAATAGTTTGGGAAGCGATGTAGTGGAGGCAGGATCCATACATAGCTTTAAGCAGAGGTATGACAAAGCTCAAAGTTCAGGGAGAGTGACCTAGTAGCGACCAGTGAAGAGGCGGGGCCAGGAGCTTGGACTCGACCCCTGCAACCTCAACTAGGTGAGTACCACCACCAAGCACGTCTCCGAAGGCACACCTCAACCAGATAACTGCTGCAGCATACAGGCACCTGGCAAACCTGAGAATAGCGTTCCAATACCTTAATAAGGAATCGTTCAAGACGCTGTACACTGTGTACGTTAGGCCCATACTGGAGTATGCAGCACCAGTTTGGACCGTTACCTGGTCAAGCACGTCAAGAAGAGGGGGACACAGAAACAAGGGGACACAATTGGAAGCTGAAGACTCAGATGACTCACAGAAATGTTAGGAAGTATTTCTTCAGTCAGTGTCGTCAGGAAGTAGAATAGCCTAGCAAGTGAGATAGCGGAGGCAGAAACCATACGTAGCTTTAAGACGAGGTATGACAAAGCACAGGAAGCAGAGAGAGAGGACCTAGTAGCGATCAGTGAAGATGCGGGGCCAGGAGCTGAGTCTCGGCCCCTGCAACCACAATTAGCGAGTACAATCAGGCGAGTACACGCGCGCGCACACACAGGAGGGTTAAGGGAGACATGATAACGGCATACAAGATACTACGGAGAATAGATAAGGTGGACAGAGACAGGATGTTCCAGAGATGGGACACAGAAACAAGGGGACACAATTGGAAGCTGAAGACTCAGACGAGTCACAGGGATGTTAGGAAATATTTCTTCAGTCACAGAGTAGTCAGGAAGTGGAATAGCCTAGCAAGTGAGATAGTGGAGGCAGGAACCATATACAGCATTAAGATGAGGTATGATAAAGCTCATGGAGCAGGGAGAGAGAGGACCTAGTAGCACTCAGTGAAGAGGTGGGGCCAGGAGAGTACACACACTGTGTCTCTGTCTCTCTCTGTCTGTCTCTCTCTCTGTTATTAGCTGATCAGTTTTTCAGATTTTTTTTTGTTCACTTTCCCTCCGAATTCTGAGATTAGCAGTAATGATCTGTGTGTGCCAGATCTGCCTTTGCTGTTAATTACTTTCACCTTTGTAAATATATGTATTCTTCCTCAGAATCCGTAGAGTGCATGAATACAGATCGATCGATCAATTCCATCCTTTATTATACCACAATTTGTTCTTATAATTCGTAATGCATTATGTTAACACCCATTATGTTAACACCCATTATTTTAACACCCATTATGTTAACACCCATTACGTTAACATCCATTATTGTACCATCCATCAATTCTAAGTTACATATGTCTTTGCCATTGCATAGAATCAGCCCAGACCCACCTGCTTGTTCAGCCTATAGCATAGTATTGTATATCGAGACGACATACATAACATGACCGAGCTGTCAGCATAGTTGCTGATCCCCTGTACATGTATATGTTACCTGAGTATCATAGTTAGTACCATCCATATGTTTCACCTGCATGACTCCTTGCTAGGCTCAGTGACTAGCATGTGTGACGTCACGTGATGCCGAATGAGTGTGTGGGATGCGGTGTCTTGCCCTCAGTTCACCGTAGACCTACCAGGCAGTCTGGGCTCCTCCCTTCACACTCTGCTAATATATGTGTTACCATCCAACAAGTGTGTTTAACTCCAGCCATCACATCTCCACGAACCCTCCCAGTATCTCTGTCTCTCTCTCTGTATCTCTCTCTCTCATATATATATATATATATATATATATATATATATATATATATATATATATATGTCGTGCCGAATATGTAAAACTGGTCAATTAGCAAGAACTCATTTAAAATTAAACCCTTTCTGAATTTTTTTCTTGTACGTTAAAGATATATTTTTTTTTCATTAATGTTGATGTAAATATTTATAATTTTACACCAAAAGAATCTTAGAAAACTTACCTAACCTTATTATAACAAGAGCAATTTATTTTAGCCTAACCCAACTAAATATATTTTAGATTTGTTTACAATAATTTAATACTAAACAAACGCAATGAAATATATTTTTTTCGTTAGGTTCAGAATGATTTTGGCGAAATTATTGCATACACAAATTTTCACTTGTCCTATATGGCAAGATGAACATTGCTATTTAAGGCAAGATCGCAAGTTCTGCCTATTCGGCACGACATATATATATGTATGTATGTATGTATATATATATATATATATATATATATATATATATATATATATATATATATATATATATATATATATATATATACATACACATACACACACACACACACACACACACACACACACACACACACACACACTAAAGATTCTCCATAAAACTAGCTTAACGTCAGTTTTGGGTAAAGAAACAGCTGTTACTACTTGCATAATCATTAAATTTACGGAAGATAAATTATTAACTCGAAATCATTATTAATTAAAAAATCCCATAATGTACACAACATTTCAAATAAAAATTCTAATAGGGACTAATTAATACTAACAAAACAGCATAGATATGCAGCCGATTTACCTTTAAGTTTAACATAGTGAGTGTCAAACAAAAACGTATACAAATTCGGGTTAAAGTTGAACTAAAACAAATAATGTGAAGATTATGGCGTTAAGTGTACTAATATTAAGATCATGTTTATTAAAGAATTATTGTGCTCAAGACACGAAAAACAAAATGAATAAAAAGTTAATTAATCCATAAGATAAACAGAACATTTATTATGTTGCGAGGAATGGAAAACAAAAATAATGGTTCAAGATAAGGTATAAAATGAAAAATAAGACGATATTTTGCCAAATAAATCCTTCTTAAGAAATTAACTAGAATTATTGAATTGTATATGTAACAAATGGTACAAAAAATGCCATCAGTAGTACACCTGGATTTCCAGAATACCTTTGATAAGGAAACTATAATTTTTAGCGGAAGATCTCGGTCAGATGACCAAAAACTCCCGCGATGGGTTATCATATGACTAAGACCTGCGTCAGGAAACACTTGTCCTGTTTCCTAACCTAACTTGACCGACAAGGAATCACGCTTCTGAAGATCCCTTGTCAAACTAAAGAGGCATCATGGAGGCGGGGAGAAACTCAAGCTTGGATCAAACCTGATAACTGTCCAGTCCCCATTCCTTTACGCTTTACGGGCTTGACGCTTTCGCCTGGATAAAATAATAATAATGACCTATTTTTCTCTTTACCTTCTGGTCTGTTACATGAGTCAGTGTCGCTACTTACTTGGGAAACTTTAGAATTGAGCGGACGTCAGTCTGTACGTTGCTACTTACTGGAAGAAGTATAGAACTGTGAGGACATCATTCTAAGTGTCGGTACTTACTGGGAGAACTTGTGAAGGTCTGTAAGAACATCTCTCACCAGTGAGGCATTATCCTCCTGCACCGCCTCCACCAGGTCTTGCCCGCTGCTCGGCACACCTGTCCAACCACACATCTGATTAAGTGCTCATCACCAGCGGTATACTCCCACCCACACCTGACCCATGAGACAACCACCAGGGGCACTGATCACTAGGGCTACACATGTCCTCTAACCTGATCCTAAAGACATGCTTTAGCAGCTAAAGTACTGTTTACCCATCTCTGACCCCCCCCCCCCATTTCTCCAAAACACACACTCACTCTCACACTCACACACACACTGCTCATGGAGCAGGGAGAGAGAAGACCTAGTAGCACTCAGTGAAGAGGCGGGGCCAGGAGCTGAGTATCGACCCCTGCAACCACAATCAGGTGAGTACACACACCACAACCACACACACACACACACACACACACACACACACACACACATACACACACACACACACACACTCTACCCCTACACAAACCTACCTGTCCAAGGACACACCTGCTAGAGTACTGCGTAGCTGACCTGAGACACCATCTTCTAGCTTTACCCCCGCATTCGCGCACACTTGTCTGAGCAGACAACTGCTGGCTCACACTCTATATATTTTGCTCTCTCTGTATATATGTATCATACCAGTGGACATATATTATATATATATATATATATATATATATATATATATATATATAAATATATATATATATATATATATATATATATATACATATTATTTTCTTTTTATTAACACACTGGCCGATTCCCACCAAGGCAGGGTGGCCCGAAAAAGAAAACCTTTCACCATCATTCACTATATCACTGCCTTGCCAGAAGCGTGATTTACACTACAGTTTTTAAACTGCAACATTAACACCCCTCCTTCAGAGTGCAGGCACTACACTTCCCATCTCCAGGACTCATGTCCAGCCTGCCGGTTTCCCTGAATCCCTTCATAAATGTTACTTTGCTCACACTCCAACAGCACGTCAAGTATTAAAAACCATTTGTCTCCATTCACTCCTATCAAACACGCTCACGCATGCCTGCTGGAAGTCCAAGCCCCTTGCACACAAAACCTCCTTTACCCCCTCCCTCCAACCTTTCCTAGGCCGACCCCTACCCCGCCTTCCTTCCACAACAGACTGATACACTCTTGAAGTCATTCTGTTTCGCTCCATTCTCTCTACATGTCCGAACCACCTCAACAACCCTTCCTCAGCCCTCTGGCCAACAGTTTTGGTAATCCCGCACCTCCTAACTTCCAAACTACGAATTCTCTGCATTATATTCACACCACACATTGCCCTCAGACATGACATCTCCACTGCCTCCAGCCTTCTCCTCGCTGCAACATTCATCACCCATGCTTCACACCCATATAAGAGCGTTGGTAAAACTATACTCTCATACATTCCCCTCTTTGTCTCCAAGGACAAAGTTCTTTGTCTCCACAGACTCCTAAGTGCACCGCTCACCCTTTTCCCCTCATCAATTCTATAATTCACCACATCTTTCATAGACCCATCCGCTGACACGTCCACTCCCAAATGTCTGAATACATTCACCTCCTCCATACTCTCTCCCTCCAATCTGATATCCAATCTTTCATCACCTAATCTTTTTGTTATCCTCATAACCTTACTCTTTCCTCTATTCACTTTTAATTTTCTTCTTTTGCATACCCTACCAAATTCATCCACCAATCTCTGCAACTTCTCTTCAGAATCTCCCAAGAGCACAGTGTCATCAGCAAAGAGCAACTGTGACAACTCCCACTTTATGTGTGATTCTTTATCTTTTAACTCCACGTCTCTTGCCAAGACCCTCGTATTTACTTCTCTTACAACCTCATCTATAAATATATTAAACAACCACGGTGACATCACACATCCTTGTCTAAGGCCTACTTTTACTGGGAAATAATCTCCCTCTTTCCTACATACTCTAACTTGAACCTCACTATCCTCGTAAAAACTCTTCACTGCTTTCAGTAACCTACCTCCTACACCATACACCCACCTGCAACATCTGCCACATTGCCCCACTCTCCACCCTGTCATACGCCTTTTCCAAATCCATAAATGACACAAAAACCTCTTTAGCCTTATCTAAATACTGTTCACTTATATGTTTCACTGTAAACACCTGGTCCACACACCCCCTACCTTTCCTAAAGCCTCTTTGTTCATCTGCTATCCTATTCTCCGTCTTACTCTTAATTCTTTCAATAATAACTCTACCATACACTTTACCAGGTATACTCAACAGACAACAGACTTATCCCCCTATAATTTTTGCACTCTCTTTTGTCCCATTTGCCTTTATACAAAGGAACTATGCATGCTCTCTGCCAATCCCCAGGTACCTTACCCTCTTCCATACATTTATTAAATAATTGCATCAACCACGCCAAAACTATATCCCCTCCTGCTTTTAACATTTCTGTCTTTATCCCATCAGTCCCGGCTGCCTTACCTCCTTTCATTTTACCTACTGCCTCACGAACTTCCCCCACACTCACAATTGGCTCTTCCTCACTCCTACAAGATGTTATTCCTCCTTGCCCTATACACGAAATCACAGCTTCCCTGTCTTCATCAACATTTAACAATTCCTCAAAATATTCCCTCCATCTTCCCGATACCTCTAACTCTCCATTTAATAACTCTCCTCTCCTATTTTTAACTGACAAATCCATTTGTTCTCTAGGCTTCCTTAACTTGTTAATCTCACTCCAAAAACTTTTTCTTATTTTCAACAAAATTTGTTGATAACATCTCACCCACTCTCTCATTTGCTCTCTTTTTACATTGCTTCACCACTCCCTTAACCTCTCTCTCTTTCTCCATATACTCTTCCCTCCTTGCATCACTTCTACTTTGTAAAAACTTCTCATATGCTAACTTTTTCTCCCTTACTACTCTCTTTACATCATCATTCCACTAATCGCTCCTCTTCCCTCCCGCATCCACTTTCCTGTAACCACAAACTTCTGCTGAACACTCTAACACTACATTTTTAAACCTTCCCCATACCTCTTCGACCCCATTGCCTATGCTCTCATTAGCCCATCTATCCTCCAATAGCTGTTTATATCTTACCCTAACTGCCTCCTCTTTTAGTTTATAAACCTTCACCTCTCTCTTCCCTGATGCTTCTATTCTCCTTGTATCCCATCTACCTTTTACTCTCAGTGTAGCTACAACTAGAAAGTGATCTGATTTATCTGTGGCCCCTCTATAAACATGTACATCCTGAAGTCTACTCAACAGTCTTTTATCTACCAATACATTATCCAACAAACTACTGTCATTTCGCCCTACATCATATCTTGTATACTTATTTATCCTCTTTTTCTTAAAATATGTATTACCTATAACTAAACCCCTGTCTATACAAAGTTCAATCAAAGGGCTCCCATTATCATTTACACCTTGCACCCCAAACTTACCTACCACCCCAAACTTACCTACCACACCCTCTCTAAAAGTTTCTCCTTTAGCATTCAGGTCCCCTACCACAATTACTCTCTCACTTGGTTCAAAGGTTCCTATACATTCACTTAACATCTCCCAAAATCTCTCTCTCTCCTCTACATTCCTCTCTTCTTCAGGTGCATACACGCTTATTATGACCCACTTTTCGCATCCAACCTTTACTTTAATCCACATAATTCTTTAATTTACACATTCATATTCTCTTTTCTCCTTCCATAACTGATCCTTCAACATTACTGCTACCCCTTCCTTAGCTCTAACTCTTTCAGATACTCCAGATTTAATCCCATTTATTTCCCCCCACCGAAACTCCCCTATCCCCTTCAGCTTTGTTTTGCTTAGGGCCAGGACATCCAACTTCTTTCATTCATAACATCACAATCATCTGTTTCTTGCCATCTGCACTACATTCCCCCCGCACATTCAAGCATCCCAGTTTTAAAAGTTTTCTTCTTCTCTTTTTTAGTAAATTCTACAGGAGAAGGGGTTATAGCCCATCGCTCCGGCATTTTAGTCGCCCCCATACGACACGCATGCTTTACGGAGGAAAGTTTCTTTTCCACTTCCCCATGACAATAGAAAAATAAAAAGAACAGAGCTATTTAGAAAAAGGAGAAAACCTAGATTAATTGTAAAATTATAGCATGTCGTGTCTGTGAAGTTGACCAAGGGGTAAGTGGAGTAGAAAGATATCCTGTTACTACGTGTTTATGAGACAAAAAGAAACCAGCAATCCTACCATCATGCAAAACAGTTACAGGTTTCTGTTTCACAGTCATCTGGCAGGACGGTAGTACTCCCTGGGTGGTTGCTGTCTACCAACCTAATACCTAAAACACACACACAACACACACACACACACACACACACACAACAACACACACACACACACACACACAACAACACACACCACACCACACACACACATACCACACACATATATATATATATAATATATATAATATATAAAAAATTATATATATATATATATATATATATACAGAATAAATTATACAATATATATAAAGTATATGTACCCTGGGTTAGAGCGTCATGTGTGATTTTCGCTCACCATTAGGCGCGCCAAAATGACATGGGTTCGAATCCTCAGCTAGTCGCAGGTTGAGAGTCTTCATAACAATTTCAATTACCTCTGTAATTGCTGTAATTATGATCTCGCTAATTGGATACGGTTTTCCTTTCCTTGCTATGGTGAGGCAGATATTGTATGATGCCTTCACTCCTTTATCATCAACATTGGCAGTTGCTTTGAAAAATGGCTTTAAATTTGGTTGATTTTTCTTTTTTCTTAAAGCAACTTAAAATAATCAGGGTCTTTTTTTTTTTGTTTCTTAGGGTGAACCCTTTCAAGGTGGTCTTTCATCTTCGAAGGTTTCGTGGCAATATTGCTGAAAGTATTTTCACGTAACAGGCTCACTGACATTGTTTCTTAGGTAAACAAAGTTACAAATCCGAATTTTAAATATTCTTGTGAATACTGCCGGTACTTCATGGTATCAGCAGCTGCCATTATGGGTGTAATAATACTGAATTTATAATAGATGCACAGTAATCACTTCCTTGGCACCACTGGTATCACTATGGGTGTTGAGAATATACTGAAGGTGATGAAGTACGCTCAGTATGTATATCCTTCCCAGGACACGAGAGATGAGAGAGACAAGGGAGAGGGTGGAAGGTCAGATACACGACGCAAAGCAAGGCCCAAGACATTTATTTACCCCCTTTTGACCCCCAGGCATATATCGATCCTTCCGATAGTACCATCGACCCTAAAGGGTCGATATTGACCACTTTGGGGAACCCTTATCTAACGTAACCCTATTGTAACTGACAGATCCACAAGATCCACAGGTCTCTGTCTCTGTCTCTCTCTCTCTCTCTCTCTCTCTCTCCTCAACTTAATCTTCGTATTTATATTTTATATTTTATTGAAACCTTTTGCAAGATCTCTCAAAATCTCTAGTCTATATTTTCATGTTGTACTCTCTTCTTTTCAATATATTTAGAAAATGAATAAAAAGGCATGCTTTCAACACTCACTCCCTACCTGGAGTTTACCTGGAGTTTACCTGGAGTTTACCTGGAGTTTACCTGGAGTTTACCTAGCAGCTACTTTATGTACAAAAATATAATGTATAATTATTTAAGTTTCACGAGATGTTTAATGAATGGGTGGATTAACTCACTTTTGGTCTTGATGGTCAGGGTAGACCAGGGAGAGGTGAGTTGGTCTTGGACCAGGCAAACTCGAACCTGGGTCAACTGTGCAGGCGCCAGGCCCTCCACCACACAGCTTCGCCCGCTGCCCCTGGTGGAGTCACCAGTGAAGTTATGTATTTCTTACTGTATATTGACATAAGTTATGGATCATACTGGTATTAAAGTGAGGTAGCTGTAGTGATTAACTAGATTTACAAAAGTGAGGTAGTTCAAAACATTTAAAATATTAACAATTAGTTTATCAATGGGACTGGTCTCGTCTTGGCATGATAACAGTTTCTATTAAAGCTCCTATAACGGAGTGTCTTAGACAAACTTATGACTTATTTATCAAAAGCTGTATTCAGAATTTTATGTTGACAGTCATTAGTGTAAATTAGGGGGAGTCACAGATATCAAGTAAGTGTATTTTGTTTTGGATATATGCAAGATACGGTGGTTCTCATGTGGTTAGCTACCGGTGGGGTGTATTAGGGAGATAAGATTTTTTTAACTGTGCTTTTGAAAATGGTGGTTGAGTCTGCAGTTCTAGAGTTTTCAGGCAGGGAGTTACAAATTTTAGGCCCTTTTATGTACATTGAACTTTTTGTATAGATTTAGCTGGACACGGGGAATGTCATAGAGATGTTTGTGTCTGGTATTATGCCTATGGGTCATGTCACAACTATCAAGAAAGTGTTTTAGTTCAGGGTTAATATGGGAATTTGTGGTTCTGTAAATGTAGATTGGAGAGTAATAAATGTGGATGTTCTGAACAGTGAGTAAGTTTAAGTCTTTGAGGAGTGGGGGGGGGTGTTGCCTAGCATTGGACTTTGTGATAATTCTCACTGCTGCTTTTCGTTGAGTTATTATTGGCTTTAGGTGTGTAATTGCTGTTGATCCCCAAGCACAAATGGCATATGTGAGGTAGAGATAGATGAGTGAATAGTATAGTGTGAGTAGGGCTGATTGTGGTACGTAGTAACGTATCTTAGAGAGGATCCCACAGTTTTGGATACTTTTTTTTGTTATGTGTTGGATATGGGTGCTGAAATTTAGGTTGCTGTCAAGGTGTAGGCCCAGGAATTTTCCCTCAGTATGCTTAGCAATAGGAGCACTTTCGATCTTAATGTCGAGTTGTGCAACACCTGCTCTGTTACCAAACAGAATATAGAAGGTTTTGTCAGTGTTAAGTGTAAGCTTATTGGCTGTCATCCAAGTAGATATTTTGAGTAGCTCCTCGTTAACAATGGTGTTGAGTGAGGCAAGATTTGGGTGGGAGATGACATAAGTCGTGTCGTCAGCAAAGAGAATTGGTTTCAGGTGCTGCTACGTTAGGAAGATCATTGATGTATAAGAGGAAGAGCAGGGGACCAAGGACACTTCCCTGAGGCACTCCAGTATCAAGTGGTCGTGATGATGAGGTGTCCTTAATGGAGACGTATTGATACTTGTTAGTAAGGTAGGATTTGAAATATGTAAGTGTATGGCCTCTTATACCATAATGGTCAAGTTTGTGGAGTAGGATACCGTGGTCTACTGTATCAAAAGCTTTCCTTAGGTCAATAAAGAAACCTAATGGATATCCCTTATTTTCCACTGCAGTGTAGAGCAGGTCTAGCATTTTTACTATTGCATCGTTTGTGCTTTTGTTTTTCCCTGAAGCCAATTTGGCAAGGGTTGAGTATTCTTTGTGCTGTTATAAACGAATTTAGTCTCTTGTGTACGAGTTTCTCGAAGATTTTGGATAGTAACGGTAAGTTTGATAATGGCCTTTAGTTATTTACATCTGTGGGGTCACCACCTTTGTGTATTGGTGTAACCCTTGCTGTCTTGAGTAGTGTCGGGAAGGTGCTAATTTCTAGGGATTTGTTAAGTAAAGAAATAGGTGAAAGGGCATGAGCCGCTCGCTTGTACAATAATGGTGGGACTTGAGACAGGTTCCCTGGTTTATTTTTAAGTGACTTGATAATCGAGGTGACTTCGGTGGGCTCGGTAGGTGCAAGATAGGAGGATGGGAAGTTTCCATTTAAATAGTCACTTGCTCGGGCGTTGGTACCTGGGATTTTACTGGCGAGGTTTGATCCTATGGTTGAGAAGAAGACATTTATCTTGTTGACTTGTATCAATAGGCTGTAATTGTGATTCATTTGGTTTAGTTAGAACAATATCCCTGTTTTTTTCAGTTTGTGGGTGCCTAGAATCTGAGAGCGTGTTTTCCAGGTCTTTATAACTCCTCTTGTTTCGGTGAACCTGCTTGAATAGTATAATTGCTTGGTCTTTATCGGTTTGGTGAGAACTGATGCATAGTGTTTAATAATGTCTTTGTGTTTAAGCCCTGCCTATATTGCTTTTCATACTGATGTTTCTTATCTATAGACCTTAGTATGCTGTTAGTTAGCCATGGGCAACATAGCCGTTTATTCGTGATTTGTTTCATTTTTATAGGACAATGTTCGTTATATAGTCTAAGCATTTTTTAAGAAATATGTCAATCCACTTATCGATACCATTGGCATTGGAGAATTCTGTCTGCCAGTCAACTGTCCGTAGCTCTGTTGTGAAGTTGCTTATTGAGGCCTCATCATGAATCTAAAAGAAATTTTGTTGTATTCGAGAGGTTTAGCAGTGTTACGAGGAAGGTGGAGTAGTGGGCAGTAGTGCTGTCTGTGATTATCCCTGTTTAAGGGGGGCTATTATATTGGTCCATTTATGGTAAATTATGGTTGCAGTTGCCTCTGTCAGCCTGGTTGATTTAGTTATAGATGCTATGAGAAGTGTGTTGCTCATATTGTTGATGAAATCTATTACTGGTTGATCATCTGTTAGGTCAAGGTTGATGTTGAAGTCTCCGGCTAAGAGTAGGTGGTGCTTGTTCACTTGGTTGTTTATTATTAGTGTCTTTATTTTATCAATAAAATTTGGAATGTTTGTATGTGGCATCCGGTAAATGGCACCGATTATAATAGGCGTGGGCTTTGTGGTCATGTCATGTGTAGCATGAGAAAGAAGCCGTAAACAGAAATATAAGAGTACCTGTCAGTTGGATGACCAGGAAGGTATATACATCCAGGGTAGAAGGAAGGGCAGGGGTCATCCCAAAAGGGCTGGAGGGAGATGGTATAGGAGCTTTTTTTTTAAGTGGTAGGGGCTTGAGCATCCTGAAGGCCTGTGTCAGCGAGATATATTGGAATGAATGGAGTCGAATGGTTTTCATGGTTTGACGTGTTATTGAAGTGTGAGCAAAGTAACGTGAAGGGAATCAGGGAAACCGGTTAGCCAGACTTGAGTCCTGGAAGCGGAAGCGTCCTGGAGTGTTGCTACTGGAGGGTCCGCATATTTCTGACGAAACGGCTAATGAGTGAATAATGGCGAATGAGTTATATTGTTCGGTGTCTTCTGTTTGGGGGAGACGGCCAGTGTGGCAACAAGATAAAATAAAATAAAAACTTGACAAGGTAATGGAGAGGTAATGACTGACCTGTAGATGGTGGTCCATCCGGTTCTGGGTGAGAGGAGTTGGACCGTGTACACCTGTGTGGGACGCTCAGGGAAGACCTCAGTGCGGTCCATCTCCTCCTCCATAGGACCTTCATCCAGACCCTATAACGAGTGTTTATTAGAGCCTCCCACATAATTTTAAACTTTTCCAGTGGTTTTATATACTAAATTACGTATAGTAACCTAGGCTAACCCAGTGAAGTCAATGTAACTTTTTTCCACTGCTGCACTTTCCAATAAAAATAGCCACTCTTGAATCACTTATTATTATTATTATTATTATTATTATTATTATTATTATTATTATTATTAACATTGTGTAATAGATCACTTTAGCATAGCAGAGCATTACAACTGGAACTTAGCTATTAAAATGTTGGGTGCCCATTCAATGAACTCATTACCTGGAGTTTACCTGGAGAGAGTTCCGGGGGTCAACGCCCCCGCGGCCCGGTCTGTGTTTTGTGTCTGTATTTTTTTTTTTTGACCGAGGCCACTGGATGGGTATGGGGTAACTACCACCCAAAGTATGATCATAGTGTAGATAATAAAACTCTCAAACTAAACATACAAGTCAAAACGGGTGATGAACATAGACAAGTTTGTAAGAAAGACACGCATCCCAGCTTTATTACTCTCAATGCTCGCATATGTGACTAATTGTGTACAAATGTATAGATGGAGCTCACGTCTTCGTCCTGGAGGTAAGTGTCTGGCTGAACTTCCTTAGCGTAGGCCAACTCTAGGTAGTCTTCGTAGGAATCATTGACACCCTCACCAGCCCTGTCAATAAACATCACTCAGTGGTGGTGGTGGTGGTGATGATGGTGATGATGGTGATGATGATGATGATGATGATGATGATGATGATGATGGTGGTAGTAAGAGTAGAATTTGATCAAAATATTAATGAATACGAATGTCACTGTTAAAGAAGTCAAACATCATTCACTTCTTCTCCAGCTCTGTCATTAAATATTACTCAGTAGTGGTAGAGATGGTAATAAGAGGAGAACCCGATCAAAATATTAAATGATACAAGTGTCAGGGCTTGCCCTTAAGGGGCTGATGTGATACAACACACCCAGACCCTCGATTACAAAGTACCCTCGAATCCTAACACAAGAGTCCCTTTAGTTCCAGACTGATGTAAACCTTTCAGATATTTACAAAGGTTATGTAATTGGGAAATATGGTGTAACGAGGTTTGATCTAAAGACGAGTAGTTCAAGTTTCTTTAATGAAAACTCCTTTACTAGCATTAAAGTATTTCTAACTCTTTGAAGCGCCCTTGATTCAAGAGCTCTTCGTCAGCATCAGGGGACTCCCATCCCCCTGACAGGAGTGTGCACCTGCAGCTAATCCTGTGAGCAGTAGAGTTCAAGAATGGATGAGAGCTCATAGTGAGTCCTTATTAGACCACACTGGGTACAGGTATTTCTTTTAACTCTAAGTCATTTCATAAGTTACAGTATTATTATATAGTTAATATTCTACTGAATACAATGTGTGGATAAAATTTCAGATATCTTTAATTACATTAGTCTCATTGTAAGTTAGATCTGCTTATATAGGTGATGCTTTTGCACCACCTAGAGATTTTCTTATTGACAAAGAAGATATTAGCCATTTTCTGCAGGATTTATTTGGTCCTATATCTAAATGGTAGGATTGTTGGACAATTTATGGAAGAGTGTTCTAGTGTGTGGTCATGTGTGTCTTCTCACAACGAGATTTGATGCAATTAGTTAATGAAAATCTGATGGGCAATGGATCCGGTAGTTCTCATCTGTACTGATTTATTATCTTCAAACTCGTTGTTAGTCTCTTTTTTTTTAATAGTGACTAAACAAAAGAGCAAAAGTATAAGTCCTTGGTGGAGTGTGTATATGCATTCATATTTAAACATGGGGTGATGTGATGGTACCTACTCTAGCCAAGGGATCGACTTCTTCACGTTCCTGGAGGCCTATATGTGGGAGGGAATCTACAGAAGTTTGACTTGTATCCTCTTTGTCAATAATTCGTGAATACCTGTTTCTGGCATCAAACACAAGCATATTACATTTAGATCTCAGTGTTTAGCGCAAACAGTGAAAAGAGGGCATCACAGACATGTAAATTATCTGTAGTCGTAGCTTCTGCACTCATGAAACCAATAAATATGGCAAACAGCACAGTTTGTAAGGTGAAAGCTCGCTTGTTAATTAGAACATTTCTCTGTTTTGCGTTATCAGGTTCGTTTATGATAACATTTCTCGCCTTCCCACTATCAGAGTTAAAACAGCCATAAGTGTAATTAATCTTTGTGATGTGCCATGCAAATTGTATGTGTTTGAGAGCACTGAATTTAGAAGTTAGTTGAGAAAGTTTTAATTACTTGTAAGGGAAGGATTTCTGAAGGTATTGTCTGCCAGGATATTATTATTATTATAATCAAGGGGGAAGCGCTAAACCCGGAGGATTATACAGCGCCTGGGGGGGGGGGGATGTGGAAGGCATTCAGGCTTAATTCGGGGAACTGGAGCTCAGATCCAATTCCCTAAATCAAGAGCCCCTCACCAACATCAAGGAACCTTCCTTGAGGGGTCTGCCAGGATAGCAAAAAATGTTGTTCTTTTCTACCTTGTCACACTTCATGTAATTCAAACATGTTTATATGTGCGGCTGCTATTCGAACCCACATTAATTTACCTGTTCCATGTCTTATATGTTCTAGTAATTCTATAGTGAACATTGTCTTCTTCAACATGTCTTCCTTTATCTCCATCTCCCGTTCCTTTCTCAATCCCACATAAGATATAAAGATGATATGTGGGTGTTTAATGTGAAGATAGACTGTAGCAAAGAGAGAAAGGGAGAAATATAACATGTTGAGAGAGCAGTTATCAGAGGTTTATAAGCGAACGAGAATACGTTGGAGAGAGAGAAAAAGGGAATAGCATAATTTCATCCCATCCTCCCTTATTACCTGTCGGAGGGGAGGCCAGGCCAGGTAGACTCACCTGGGGGTGGTGACATCAATAGGGGTGGCGTGACCGGGGTCACCTCCCTGCGACGACCCTGGAGAGTCGCCACTACTGAGGTCCCCATCAGGGTCCCCCCAGTCCACACGCACCCAGTGGTGGCCAGAGCCCCCCACCCTAACTTCAGGACCTGGGAACAGTGAAGAACATAACTCGTGGTTTTTAATTTTCAGCTTGTTAGTTGGTTTAGAACGCTGTTTTACCTGTCGGAGTTGATAACCAGCTGACAGCTGCATCATGATTTGCACAAGGAACCTTGATTTCTTATTTGTACCTGAATAATCAAGAATTCTCAATATCTAAGAAATTGCTTAATATCAACCCTGTGTACAATCACTAATAAATATATACTTCTAGGTATATTCACTATGGTTTCTTTTCTATTTTTAAAAGGGTTCCTTGATGTTGATGAAGAGCTCTTGATCTTTTTCTTTGATTAAACCTGTTTGCCTTCCATTTCCCAGGCGCTGTATAGCCCCTTATTAGATTTCATTTCTTTTTCTTCAGTGGTGTATGAATCACCGGTAAGTAGTGCTTAGCGCTTCTTTTTGATTATAATAATAATAATAATAACCGGTAAGTAGTGGACTAATGTTAGAGGGAAATTTTAACTTGAATTTTAAATTGCTAATAAATATCTACGAGTTCTTCCAGTTTATTGAACGTCTGACTGACGTACCGCATGGTAAAGATAAGGACATGATGTAGACAGTTGGTGAAAATGACACAAATGAAGTGGAGGTTTTAATTGTACAGTATATTTACTGTATACCAGTAGAGAAGATAACTGAAAGAAACTGCATAGCAGGCAAAACGTTTCGGCAATTCATACCCAACTGTTGTACATGTGTCATACTCGTCTAGTTGTAGGTATTATACACCATTAATCTAATGATACTTGAGCAACGCCTGCGTGGCCCAGTGAAATGTCCGCAACTCTATGATGAATTGAAATGAAGGAGCATTGATCGTTAAGGAGGACGATGTGCAAAGGAGAAAGTGCCTTGAATCAGCCCTCTGCATTTTGGGGTCATGACAGTGGTTCTTAGTTTAGCAGAACCTCTATAGCCAGGAAGCGTCTAAGACGTTTAGCAACCAGTGTGACCTGACGCCCACTTTCAGGTATTAATGGAAGTAAATTGAACTAAAAAAAAAAAGTACACCTCAAAGGGATGAGACAGCTAAGGTTTTCTCCGCCCCTTCAATTACACGTTCCACAGGGGACTCGCCCACCTACCCTTCTCTTTTAGGATTATCTTCTCGCTTGATGAAGTCCCCTGCCTGGGCGAAACGTCGTCCAAAAAGTTTTCATATAGTCGTATTTGTCTATTTTTCAGGTTTGCTCCTTGGATGGGGATAACAGCTTCAGTTCTTTGAATCAAGAGCCCCTTAATCAACATACCTGCTTTATTATGCGCCCCATACCCATCTTGTGGTGCCGGTCAAAAGATTAGAGTGCTTGAGGAGTAGTATTCATGAACCGTGTCAATTGCGTGAGATAAGATAAGGTAACCTTCCACAGATATGGAGTGCATAATAAAAATATCAAACTGAATTGTATCCAGCTGCCTTGAGCAAGGTCATGGTGCTGATCCAGTGAATCATCAAATACAGTAACAGAAGTCTACATACCTTCCATGTTAATCCTGTAACTCCGCTGGATTCGGCAGGACGTTTATATTCTTCTCTGAAGATATATATATATATATATATATATATATATATTATATTATATATATATATATATATATATATATATTTATATATATATATATTTATATATATTAATTATATTATACACGTCGTGCCGAATAGGTAAAATTGGTCAATTAGCAAGAACTCCTTTAAAAATAAATTCATTCTTAAAGATAAGATCATTTTTTTAATTTATGATAATGTAAAAATTAATAATTTTGTACCAAAATAACCTTACAAAATTTACCTAACATTATTATAACAAGCGCAATTTAATTTAGCCTAATCCAACTAAATATATTTTAGATAAGTTTACAATAATTTAATAATAAACAAACACAATGAAACATATTTTTTTCGTTAGGCTCAGAATGATTTTTGCGAAATTATTGCATGCACAAATTTTCACTTGTCCTATATGGCAAGATGAGCGTTGCTATTTAAGCCAAGATCGCAAGTTCTGCCTATTCGGCACGACATATATAAATATATATTTTTTATTATTATTATCACACCGGCCGAATCCCACCAAGGCAGGGTGGCCCGAAAAAGAAAAACTTTCACCATCATTCACTCCATCACTGTCTTGCCAGAAGGGTGCTTTACACTACAGTTTTTAAACTGCAACATTAACACCCCTCCTTCAGAGTGCAGGCACTGTACTTCCCATCTCCCATATATATATATTTATATATTATATATATATATATATATATATATATATATTATATATATATATATATATATATATATAATATTATATATAATGATAATAAGACTGTCAGAATCTTTCTGATTTTCTTTTTTTGGAGGCTTTCGTTTTTTCTTTCTTGGACGATGTCATAGAACTTTTTTAACTGCTATCAACAGAGGTAGCAGATGCACGCGCGCGCGTTGACGTCGGTAGTGTGTACTCACCTATTTGTACTCGCCTATTGCAAGGGTCAATACATAGCTCCTGGCCCCGCCTCTTCAATGTGTGTACTCAGCTAGTTGAGGTTGCAGGGGTCGATTCCAAGCTCCTGGCCCCGCCTCTTCACTGGTCGCTGTGTGTGTCTGCGTCTGTGCGTGCGCGCGTATTCGCGTACTCGTCTATATACTCACTTATATGTTGTTGCAGAGGTTGAGTCTCAGCTCCTGACCCCGCCTCTTCGCTAATTGCTACTAGATTCACTCCTGGCTTCGAGAACCTTATCATACCTTTAAAGCTATGTATGGATCCTGCCATTACCTCTTCACTCTCTAGGTAGTTCCTCTTCCTGACCGCTCTAATGCTCAAGAAATACTACGTCCTGTGACTAATCTGAGTTTTCAACTTCCAGTTGTGCCCTCGTGTTCCTGCTTCCCATCTCTGTCAACATACACTCTGTCAATTCGTCTTAGTATTTTGTACGTTATCATGTCACCCCTAATCCTCCTGTTCTCCAGAATCATCAGGCATACTCCTTAGTTACGGGACTAGTTTCGTTGCATAACTCTGCTCTTTCTCTCTTTTCTTGACATGCTTAACTAGGTGTGGGTTCTACACTGGTCAAGCATGTCAAGAAATTAGCACACAGAATCGTGAATGGCTCCTTACTTAGATGTCTAAAAGCTACTCTTTAATTTACCAGAGGCACATCTACTGCATTAAACTGATTCATGTGCGCCTCATACGATGTGCTCGATACAATCCTCACCCCTGATCCTTCTCCTTAACTAAGGTTTGTCCCCCTATTTAGTCTGTACTCCGTCTGCGGTCTTTGCCCTTCCCCAAGCTTCATCACTTTGCACTTGCTGGGGTTGAACTCCAGTAGCCACTTGTCACACCAGGCCAGCAGCCTGTCCATATCCAGTTGTAGTCTGTCCTAGTCCATGTCTAATAGTATTCTCATTAGATTTACACCTGCGAACAGGGATACCTCTGACTATCCCTTTCGCCATGTTATTCACGTATACAAGAAATAACACCCATTCCGACACCTGTCAGGTACGCGTTTAATCCACTGTATTGTTTTCCCTGTAATTCCTACCTCCTACTCTAGCTTCTGTATTAGTCTCTTGTGCGGCACTGTGACAAAAGCCTTCTTACAGTCCAAGAAGATGGAAGCTGCCTATCCCTCTCTCCTGTCTTCTGTTACCTTGTCGAAGAACTCAATTAGGCTTGTGAGGCAAAATTTACCATCTCTAAAGCCGTGCTGGTTGTCATGTATGCACCCACTACATTTTAGGTGTTCCACCACTGTTTTTCCTGATAATATCCATAACTTTCCATAAAATGCATGTCAGCGACACTGGTCTGAAGTTTAACGATGCCCGTCTGTCTTCAAAAGCTAGCGAGAGTATGCTCGTGCTTCTAATTGTGTGTAAGAGAGAGGGAGACGGAAGAACAAAGACAGAGACTAAATACTCGTTATATGAAGTAGAGGAAAGGTATTCCTAGACAATAATCAGTTACTGTTCTGTTTGGTGTTGTCTTTACCAAGCTATATTTTTATTTAGTCTTGTTTAACCAACTTCAGTTATACATAACGTTAAACTTCGAGATACTACACACAGGCTACATAAGCGGGTAACACTGCCACATAGGAGTTTCAGAAGCGGGTAACACTGTCACATAGGAGATTCAGAAGCGGGTAACACTGCCACATAGGAGTTTCAGAAGCGGGTAACACTGCCACATAGGACTTCAGAAGCGGGTTAACACTGTCACATAGGAGTTTCAGAGCGGTAACACTGTCACATAGAGTTTCAGAAGCGGGTAACACTGCCACATAGGAACTTCAGAAGCGGGTAACACTGCCACATAGGAACTTCAGAAGCGGGTAACACTGCCACATAGGAACTTCAGAAGCGGGTAACACTGCCACATAGGATTTCAGAAGCGGGTAACACTGTCCACATAGGAACTTCAGAAGCGGGTAACACTGCCACATAGGAACTTCAGAAGCGGGAAACACTGCCACATAGGAACTTCAGAAGCGGGTAACACTGCCACATAGGAACTTCAGAAGCGGGTAACACTGCCACATAGGAACTTCAGAAGCGGGTAACACTGCCACATAGGAGTTTCAGAAGCGGGTAACACTGCCACATAGGAGTTTCAGAAGCGGTTAACACTGTCACATAGGAGTTTCAGAAGCGGGTAACACTGTCACATAGGAGTTTCAGAAGCGGGTAACACTGCCACATAGGAACTTCAGAAGCGGGTAACACTGCCACATAGGAACTTCAGAAGCGGGTAACACTGCCACATAGGAACTTCAGAAGCGGGTAACACTGCCACATAGGAGCTTCAGAAGCGGGTAACACTGCCACATAGGAGTTTCAGAAGTGGGTAACACTGCCACATAGGAACTTCAGAAGCGGGTAACACTGCCACATAGGAACTTCAGAAGCGGGTAACACTGCCACATAGGAACTTCAGAAGCGGGTAACACTGCCACATAGGAGCTTCAGAAGCGGGTAACACTGCCACATAGGAGTTTCAGAAGCGGGTAACACTGCCACATAGGAACTTCAGAAGCGGGTAACACTGCCACATAGGAACTTCAGAAGCGGGTAACACTGCCACATAGGAACTTCAGAAGCGGGTAACACTGCCACATAGGAGCTTCAGAAGCGGGTAACACTGCCACATAGGAACTTCAGAAGCGGGTAACACTGCCACATAGGAGCTTCAGAAGCGGGTAACACTGCCACATAGGAACTTCAGAAGCGGGTAACACTGCCACATAGGAGCTTCAGAAGCGGGTAACACTGCCACATAGGAACTTCAGAAGCGGGTAACACTGCCACATAGGAGCTTCAGAAGCGGGTAACACTGCCACATAGGAATTCAGAAGCGGGTAACACTGCCACATAGGAATCAGAAGCGGGTAACACTGCCACATAGGAACTTCAGAAGCGGGTAACACTGCCACATAGGAACTTCAGAAGCGGGTAAAACTGTCACATAGGAGCTTCAGAAGCGGGTAACACTGCCACATAGGAACTTCAGAAGCGGGTAACACTGCCACATAGGAGCTTCAGAAGCGGGTAACACTGCCACATAGGAGACTTCAGAAGCGGGTAGTAACACTGCCACATAGGAACTTCAGAAGCGGGTAACACTGCCACTAGGAACTTCAGAAGCGGGTAACACTGCCCACATAGGAAACTTCAAAGCGGGTAACACTGCCACATAGGAGCTTCAGAAGCGGGTAACACTGCCACATAGGAACTTCAGAAGCGGGTAACACTGCCACATAGGAGATTCAGAAGCGGGTAACACTGCCACTAGGAACTTCAGAAGCGGGTAACACTGCACATAGGATACTTCAGAAGCGGGTAAACTGTCACATAGGAGCTTCAGAAGCGGGTAACACTGCCACATAGGAACTCAGAAGCGGTAACACTGCCACATAGGAGCTTCAGAAGCGGGTAACACTGCCACATAGGAACTTCAGAAGCGGGTAACACTGCACATAGGAACTTCAAAGCGGTAACACTGCCACATAGGAACTTCAGAGCGGGTAACACTGCCACATAGAGCTTCAGAAGCGGGTAACACTGCCACATAGGAACTTCAGAAGCGGGTAACACTGCCACATAGGAACTTCAGAAGCGGGTAACACTGCCACATAGGAACTTCAGAAGCGGGTAACACTGCCACATAGGAACTTCAGAAGGCGGTAACACTGCCACATAGGAACTTCAGAAGCGGGTAACACTGCCACATAGGAACTTCAGAAGCGGGTAACACTGCCACATAGGAACTTCAGAAGCGGGTAACACTGCCACAGAGGAGCTTCAGAAGCGGGTAACTGCCACACAATAAACGTCTTGTGAACTTTCAGCGTGGAGCTGTGCCTATTTCTTGTTTACATCAGTTACCATGACAACCACTGCTATCTTCATATTCACGAGTTTTGTTTTCACAGTACAAACGTAATAGCATTTTAAAGGCAAACTTGGACAATTTTTAAAGCCTTTCTTGCTTGTGA